AGAGGCTTAGGAATAGTCTTTTTTGCATAAAGGATATATTTGAATTTATATTGGAATTGGGTAATACTGTCTGATGCATTCCCCGGGAAGGACAATTAAGTCTTTTATAAAAGGTATCTTGGAATCTCTTATATCAACATGTTAATCAGAGTCCTTGGTGATAAGTTTGTCCAGTAATTTGCATGCCCAGTTGACACTAAGATGCAGAGTAAACCAATGCTATGATACATGGACTCTGCATTCACAGTGAGCTTGTTGAATTGGAAAATTAGTGATAACCAAAAATAACTTTGATAGGTCCTTTCCTGGAGAGGTAAGTACAAATTGTGGCAAAAGTGTTATTTGGTTCCTGCACATCAGAAACACAGTTATTCAGCATTTCAGCTCTAAGTATCCTCTCTCGCAGTCCATCTTGTTCATTGGCCTCACCCAACTATAACTGGAATTACCCTCAGCTAATCTTGAAATTTAAGTTCCGGTTCTAATCTAAACCACTACATCATTATTTTTTAATCTGGTATCTATCTAAGAGACCTGTAAAGTGGTAATAATGTTGGCCACTATTCTGAGTACTTACAGTGTACCAGGCCCCGTTCGATGTGCCCTACAGGTATTAACTTAATTGCCATAATAGCCAGAGAAGTAATTACTATTATTTCTCCCCATATTCCAAATGGGGAAACTAAGGCACAAAATAGATAAGCAATTTGTCAATAGCTAATTAACTAGCAATCAGCAAAACTACGATTCTAATTTAATTGCTTGATTCCAGAGCTGATGTGCTTAACCTCTGTATTTCAACCTCTAGAAGATCAATGGTTTGGTGTAAAAACTTATAGCCAGGACTTCAGAATCCTTCAGGGGGTTCAAATCTTTGCAGAAAAGAAGGTTGAATTTGGATAAATTGGGAATTATAGACATATCCCTCTTCTTTCCTTGATGGTGAGCAGGAGGGGTTATATGTATGGTTGTTTTTAAGTGGTACAGTTAAAATGGTAAGATCTAGCAAACCTGCTCCAATGAGGGGTATTTGTGCCAGAGATCTTGGCATCTGAACTGTGATGGGTTTGGGCTCAACATAGGTCACTGCAGTAGTTGGGCCGAGGACTGGAGAACAACTTCAAATAGGGAATTGGACTGTCCAGAAGAGGGTGTATTTTTTCAAACAAAAATAGAGATGATGTCTGCTACTCATCACTCAAGGGAGACAAGCCCAATGAGACAGGGGACTCCAGAGCCACACAGGAGATGGACCCAGATGTTGACTTGGAGTGAAATGAAGCAGAAACTGTACTATAATTAATTATCCAAAGGTAAACCTAACCCCTAACAATCCTCTTGAGACAAACCAACTAAGTCAGAAAGGAAGGGATTAGAGCAAAAGTAGGATTCCCAAGGGCTGGAGCCACCAAGACCAATTTGTTGGGGCTGAACCCAAATGCTGGAAGACCAGAGAGAAAAATGCTTTATCTACTTAGAAGGACAGAGAAGTCAAGCAGGGCCAATAAAGTCAGGGGCTATGTGAAAGATAATCGAATGAGCTCCAACCTGAAACTGATAATTAGAGGGCTGATCCCACAGAACGGATGCAGAAGGAACCCAAAATCCTTCCTGAGATTCCACCAGAGATGTTTGTTCCAAAGTAACGTTGTGCCAGAAATCCAAGGAGCTCAGTCTAGCTTCCGCCCCATCTGGCCAGACAGTGTGGAGGCCAGGAAAAAAAAATTGGAGCTGGATAAACTCCACAAATGGTGCCAAGCTGCTAAGCTAGAGCTGGAGCTTGGTGAGATTAGGGGGGAAAAAGCTGGGTTTTGTGAGTCTATCCATTTCTCTGCTTTCATGTTTGCTTTCTTTTCCTTCAGTGGGTTTTTTTTTTTTGTATGTGTGTGTGTGTGTGTTTTAATTCCAAACAAGTTCCCAGCTGGAATAAGAGGAAAACTGATTTCCCACACCTAAATCAGGATAAATAATGGACATGCTCCAGAGGTAGATATGGGGGCAGCAGAGCCAGGGAATGTGAGACGGAGGGAAAAGTGAGGAAGTCAGATGGGAAGAGCTCTGAACAGCAGGGCATCCCACCACTTTCCTTCCTAGGGATTTTTTACTTTATCTTAATGCTTTTCTTAAAGCCTGTGCTTGCACAGTGGCCTGTATGTGAAGTGAAGGAGGCTTGGTGACTTCCCATTGTCAGGGCAGGAGGAAAAATAAAGGATTGCCTCTATGGAATTGTAGATTGTTTATTATTCTAAGGAAAAGTATTTGTCTTCTCTCACAGAGAAATCCTGCTTTCTTATCTTAGACCTGTCCCTGAAACAAAGTAGTCTTTAGTGCCTTTATTTTGTTTCCAGTTTTTGACTATAACTGACATGTAGTGTTGTGAATTTAAGGTACACAAGCAAGGTTATTTGTTATATCTATTTTAGCAAAATGATTTAACATGAAGAGGTCGGGCCTTTAATATAAGGGGAAAACAGAAGCACAGGAAAGTTAGGTAACCTGCCCATGGGCACCCATCCAGGGGAGTAGCTGAGTTCTAAATCGAACCCCACAATTGTTCAGGTCCTTAAGTGACCTTGAAACCAAACACTGACAGGCCTGATACCAACCCCATTTCCTGGCCTGGCCTGTCTTCCTCCCATCCCAGGACCCAGGATCTTGACGGCCACAGCCTTCACTGGTACGTCAGGGCTCAATCCCAGAGCTGAGAAATGGAACTCACTAACAAATATTGCTTGTTTAAGAGCGTTGAAGAAACAAGGCAAAGTCAATGCCACCCAATTGCCTTCCAGCTCATCCTGTTTTACCCACAAAGAATGTGGACACTCTTAAGGGATACACAGCTGCATTCACAACTCTGAAATCATTCAGGAACTGCAGGCCATTTTAAAAGTCTACTCCTGGCATTTAAAAAATACATTTTCCTCATTTGTGTTAAGATTTTATATATTGTCTTTCCTGAATCTCTTCTGCAGAATCAAAGCAAATAAAGTATAATGCAAATATTCATTATTATTTTCTATGACTAGCAAGTAAATATTTTACAATCCCACTTCTTCTCTTTTTCTTCTTTACTTTCTATTTCGATATTCACATTTCAAAATAGCTTTCCAAAGTAGATTTAGGAACTGAATGCAAACTTTATGTCTGTCTTCCCATTTTCTTTGGTCTCCTTTGTGGTCTATTTTATAATAAACACATGCACCCAACCAAAACAAAATGCACTTATATGTTTATAAAGGATAATGTTTGAGCTGACATTATCATTATTGCATAAAATCCTACTTAGAAATTTGCAAAAAAGATAGTTTAACAGGATCAGAGTCTAACTGACAAAATAGTTTCTAATTCTATAAAGGGCAAAACTGGAGAATTTTGTGATAGAAATACAGAAAGAAAAAAAATTTTTTTAAGATTTATTTATTTATCTATACAAGAACTGGGTACAGTAAGAAGCGTGGGAGGGTGAGAGAATTCACCAGAGCCAGAGCGGGGAGCAGAGCAGGCAGAAGGACCGAAGCACACTGCTGAGGGGAGCAGCGGGCAGCAGGAGAGGTCTGCGCAGCAGGAGAGGTCTGCGCACCATGCGGGACCCTCCTCTGGTGGCCGTGGAACAGCCGGGAATCAAATCCGCGCAGCAGAGGCCGCGGGCAGCCCCGCAACCCAGCGCTCAACTGCTGCGCCACCGGGGAGGCCCCAGAAAGAAATTTTAACGAAAGAATTTTGTGACCCTGGTAGTATAGAAGTTACATAATGGAGGAGAGAAGACCAAAGAACACAGTGAAATTTAGAAGTTCAAAGCTAACATAGAAATTATTCCTAAATGAAATCAGGTCCTTTTTGCTTTAAGGTTACGTAATTTTGTAACACTATCACTAACCCTGTGTGCTGGAGTTCTTGTCTGAACTTCCTTTAAATAATAAAAAATTCTTATCTTAGTGAAATCTGAAATGATTCATTGTCAAATCAAAGAACAGAGATGTTCCTATCAACATAGAGATAATATTAACTGATTTTTAAATTTTTCCTAAACTAATATAGTTTTACATATTTCTTCTCTTTACAGTAGTGGAAGTTTACCAATCAAATGTGAATCTTGCAAACTTTACCAAAGGTATGTTTGTTAAACAAATGGATTGTTATTTTAGATAAGTAGAGATAGATTCTTAAGCCTCCAACTTGTGATAAATGGCAGAAGCCCACGTAACTGCTGAGGGCCAGTCTGACAGGAACTGGCAATGATAACAAACAAAACAATGAAGGCCCATTATCTGAGAGTTCACAGAAGAATGGGTTGGCACCCAGCCAGATGTATAATCAGCCTATTTTAGTGTTTATCACACAGACCAATGGATTTTTCCAAATAATAGTAAGTTAGGTGTGGCTCTTTTCTTTCTTTTTTTAAAAGAGGATTTCCTGACAATCTGTCTAGAAGTTATGATAATATCTTTGTATGTTTTCATAAAATGGTACATTATGCACCAATGACAAGCAACAATGGGTCATTGATATCAGTTTTTTGATTCTGGGCTTTTGGGGAATTTTATGCTCAAAGGTTCTCTTTGACTTTGTTAGTCTACATCAAGGCTGACTTTGCCTTAGTACAAAATGCCTTAAAATATGGAATTTGTAATGGCCCATTCAATAACTATGAAGAACCTCATTACTCAAAAGGCAGTCTGGGCTCTATTCATTTAAAGAGAATGAAGTCAAAAAAGCACTATACCCAAATATCACCTAAAACATAAACTGAAGGGTCATACACATGTCTTTGAAACCAAATGACTGTATTGATTCACACATTGCAGTAACTGCTGCTTATTTAACTTCTTTTTGTTGCAATATAGCAAAACTAAAAAATTAAATTGTTGGTCGTGAAAATAGTCCTCTACCTCAAATCACTTAAGGTTCCTGTGTACTACTGGAACTGTCATAAAGAAGTAAAAAAATTGGTTTTTAATATCAATCCAACTAATTTTTATTAGTTGGAAACATTAAATCAATAAATCCATTGAAAAATTATAAATGATGTTAAAACATGAATTACTCTTGTTTGTGTTTGGTACAAGTCTCAAAATTATATTTAAGTCATTGCTCAAACTTCAAATAATGTTTGAAATGTTTACAAATCCAATAGCCATTAACGTTCTCAGCAAAATGTGGGCTAGACAGAATTCCCCCAATCTCATAAAAGATAACTACAAAACCTACAGCAAAAACATACCTAATGGTGGAGACTAAATGCTTTTCCTGTAATATTGGGAATGAAGCAAGATAATATATTCTTATTACTTCTATTCAAAATTGTACTGGAGCTCTTAGGCCTGGAAATAAAAAAGAAAAACAAAGAAAGGAAGGTATACTGGAAGAAGAAAAGCTGTTTTTATTTGCAGGCAACATGATCACCTATTTAAAAAATCCAATGGAATTATGAAAATCTATGGGGCTAAAAATTGAGTTTTAACAATACTGCAGGATACAAGATCAATATATAAAAACCAATGCGGTGTCTACATACTAGTGAACTTGTATTTTATTTTATTTTATTTATTTATTTATTTATTTTTTTTGTGGGACCCTCGCCGGCGGCCGGGGAACGAACCGGCGCTGCAGAGGCTGCAGGCAGCCTAGCAGCCCAGCGCTCAACTGCTGCGCCACCAGTGGAGGCCTGAACTTGTATTTTTAAACCATTTAGAATGCTTTAAAAACTTGATATTTAAAAACCAACATCACTTACAATAACATCACAAATATAAATATCTAGAGATAAGTTACTTTGAAAATCAGTTTTGTGGTTTCTTAAAAAGTTATACATTTGACCAAAGACCTATATACTGAAAGCTACAAACACTGTCTAAGAAATTAGAGAAGAATTAAATTAATGGATCCATGAAGTGTGCTCATTAATTAGGTGTGTGAATATTGTTCAACTGTCAATTCTTCCCAAATTAGTTGATAGATTCAGTAAAATTCCAATAAAAATCTTAGCATTCTTTTTCTGTAGCAATTTATAAATTGATTCTAAAATTTATATGAGAATGCAAAGTACCTGGATTAGTCAAAACAATTTTTAAAATAAAGAGTAAAGCTGATAGATGTATATGACCATCTGGTTTCAATATTCCTATAAATCTACAGTAATCAACTTTGTGTCAACTGGCATAAAATTGACATTGTGGTCAATGAAATAGAAGAGAGAGTACAGAAATAGTTTTGACTGGCTTTCTGCAAAGTCACAAAGGCAAGTTAATGAGGAAGGCAAAACCTTTCAATAGAGAATACTAGAAAAATTGCATGGACACCTCCCCACAAATGAACCTCAAAAACTCATGGCACAGCATAAGCAACAACTAACTTCCAATGTATCATAGGTATCTATGTAAAAGTTAAAACTATGACAGTTCTTGAAGAAAACACAGAAACTTTGATGACTTTTCATGTGTTAAGAGTCTTTAAACGACAAAAATAACAAAGTGAAAAGGGAAATATTCAGTAAATTGAACTTGATCAAAATAAAAAATGTTTTCTCTTTAGAATTCACAGCCATGAAAATGATGGGGCCTCCCTGGTGGCACAAGGGGTTAAGTACCGCATTATGAAGCAATCACAGCCTCTGCAGCACAAGTTCGATCCCCAGCTGGCCAAGGAGCTACCCACATGACAAAGCAGACCTCTCCTATCTCGCTCGCTGATCACCTCAGCAGTGTATTTTGGTCAGTCTGCCTGTTCTGTTCCCCACTCTGTCTCTGGTGAATCCTCTCACCCCCTGCATCTCCGGCCTGTGCCCCAGCTCTTGTATGCACAAATAAATAAATCTTAAAAAAAAAGAAAAGAAAAAGGAAGTCACAGCCATGAAAATGAAACAGCAAGCCTCAAACTGAGAGAAAATCTTTCTAAAACTTTCACCACACTTGATCTAAAATATAAAAGTATCTCCTATCAGTCAAAAAGAAGGCAACTTTTACGGAAAATGGGAAAAAATGAAGAGACACTTTTGCAAATAAGATATATGGTTGATGAGTAAGTGAAAAGCTCATCATCATTAGAGAAATGCAAATTAAAATCACAATGAGATATTATTGCACACCCCCTATAATAACTAAACTTAAAAATAATAGCCATAGCAAATGCTGAAGAGACTGTAAAGAAATCATAACTGGTGGCGCAAGGGGTTAAGCACCGCGCTATGAAGCAATCCGCAGCCTCTGCAGCACAAGTTCGATCCCCAGCCGGCCAGGGAGCTACCCACATGACAAAGCAGACCTCTCCTGTCTCGCTCGCTGCTCCCCTCAGCAGTGTATTTCAGTCAGTCTTGCCTGTTCTGCTCCCCACTCTGTCTCTGGTGAATCCTCTCACCCTCTGCATCTCTGGCCTGTACCCCAGCTCTTATATGCATAAATAAAACAATCTTAAAAAAAAGAAAAGAAATCATGACTCATCCACTGCTAGTGAAAAATGTAAAGTTTTAAGATCACTTTGAAAATCAGTTTTTCAGTTTCTTAAAAAGTTACACATATACCCACAATTTAACTCAACTGTTCCACTTACGGGTTCTCACTCAAGAGAAATAAAGCATATTCCATACAAATATTGCACATGAATGCTCACAGCAGCAGCAAGTGTGGTATACAAAAACTAGAAACAACTTAAATGCCCATTGACCATTGACTGGATAAGCAAATTGTAATACATCCATTCAAAGATACACTATTTCAAAGATACAATATTCAACGATGAAAAGGAACAATCTATTGATATATGCAGTGGCATAAATGAATCTCAAGATATTCTGAGGTGAAAAAAAGAATGTCAAAAAGAAAGGACATGCTGAATTTATATAAAATTCTAGGAAAGGCAAACTAATTTAGAGCAGCAAAAATCAGATTCACTGGTTGCCCGAGTCTGGGCTAAAAGGGAGGAATGATTAGAAAAGGGCATAATTAAACTATTTGGGATGGAATGTGTAACTGGATTGTGGTTAAAGGGTTTCATGAGAGTATAAATATGTCAAAAGTCATAAAATTTTATACTTTAAACATATATAATTTATTGTTTGGAAACTGTAGCTCAATTAAGCTGGAAAAAAATAATACTCGGTTGCACATTGCTTTTTTTATTTTTCCCCTTGCAATGCAATATGCATTGCATATTAACAATGCATAACAATGCATAACAATGTCTATGTGTGATTTAAAAATACTTTAAAGGGCCTCCCTGGTGGCACAAGGGGTTAAGATGCAGCCTATGAAGCTGTCCACAGCCACTGCAGCATGAGTTTGGTCCTCAGCCAGGGAGCTACCCACATGGCACAGCAGACCTTTCCTGTCTTGCCTGCTGCTCCTCTCAGCAGTGTACTTCAGTCAGTCCACCTGTTCTGCTCCCCACTCTGTCTCTGGTGAATCCTCTCACCCCCCCACACCTCTGGTCTGTACCCCAGTTCTTGTATGCATAAATAAATAAATCTTTAAAAATAAATAAAACTACTTTATCACTAAGAGTGATAATATGGAAAATATGAAAAAATTAAACAGATTTCTTACCAGTCAGGAATGACAGTTAATAAATTTTTCAGGCTTGTTTATGCATATATAAACATAATAATATTGACAATTAGGATCATAATGCATGTAATGTTTTAAATCTGGACTTTAACATTACAAGCATTTTTACATGTGATTACATTATTTTCAAAAATGTACTTCTCTGGGGCATCCCTGGTGGCACAAGGGGTTAAGCACCGCACTATGAAGCAATCCGCAGCCTCTACAGCAAGAGTTCGATCCCCAGCCTGCCAGGGAGCAACCCACATGGTGCAGCAGACCTCTCCTGACTCGCCCGCTGCTCCCCTCAGCAGTGTATTTCAGTCAATCTGCCTGTTCTGTTCCCCACTCTGTCTCTGGTGAAATCTCTCATCCCCTGCATCTCTGGTCTGTACCCCAGCTCTTGTATGCATAAATAATCTTTAAAAATTATACTTTTCTATGCATCATGAACATAACATTATATGGGCATACCCTAATTTATTTAACTGCTCTTGCTTGGGGACATTCAGGTTGCTCTCAAGTTTGTTTGTTTGTTTTTTGTGGGACACTTACCAGCGGCCGGGGAACGAAACGGCGAGGCTGCAGGCAGCCTCGCAGCCCAGTGCTCAACCTCTGCACCACCAGGGGAGGCCCTTGCTCTCAAGTTTGTACTAGTACATATATAATGCTGTTTTCAACATCTTTAGACAGTGCATGTTACACAAAATATTTTTTAGTATGGATTCTTAGGAATGGATTAATGATCAAAGAATATAAACTATTTGGTATTTCTGAAACATTGTACTAAACTGTTTTTGTTTTTCAGGAATACTCTACAACTTACTTCCCAATGGAAGCATATAAAATAAATGAAAGTCTATCTAGAGTCTATCTTACTCTATTCTCCAAAGTATTGAATTTTATAGAGCTTTTAAATATTTTTTTTAAAGATTTATTTATTTATTTATACAAGCACTGGGTATAGTCAGAAGCACGGGAGGGTGAGAGAATCCACCAGAGCCAGAGCGGGGAGCAGAGCAGGCAGAAGGACTGAAGTACACTGCTGAGGGGAGCAGCGGGCGGCAGGAGAGGTCCGCGCACCATGTGGGACCCTCCTCTGGTGGCCGGGAGCAGCCGGGGATCGAACTGGTGCTGCAGAGGCTGTGGGCAGCTTTGCAACCCAGCGCTTAACCGCTGCGCCACCGGGGAGGCCAAAGCTTTTAAATCTTAACTCCCTTTCCCCACCCCCACCACTGTTTAAGGAAATAAGGAAATCCCTTGAAGGAAATTATTCTGATATGACATCCTACTTAAAAGATATGAATGAGCTTTGAGGAAAAGTAAAAACCAAAGCATCACTTTGGGGAGACACATATGTCATGTTCATTAGCACAGGATTACATTGTAACTAATATATTTCTTTGTCAATCTCACAGTTTTTCTTTTGCTAATATACAAATTATCTACCACACATAGGCTTGGATTTTGATACACAGACAAGTGAAAACTTTGTAGAATTTTTTGGGCATCAAGTAAAGCTGCCAATTGGGAGGATGGATATATGAACAAGATGGCTAAGCTAGAGCACTTTTGAAACAATTCTGCACTGCTCTGTATGTGACACTGCTCCTCCAGCAGACTGAGTTTCTTTGGGGAGAAGCAGTCTTGTTAATGTTCCCAGCACCAAGAACAGAGCCTGCAACACAGCCAATGGGCAATAAATGTTTGTTTGGTGATTGAGTGACAGATTAAAGAAATGACTAAATGAATTCCAATTAGTTAAAAAAGGGCATGTTTTTGTGACTTCAAGTTGCAACCCCAAGTATATTCCAATGGAAACATGATCACAAACCTCAGCTGGCTGCACAGTATCACTGGCCCAGCTACATTACGTTATTTAATAAGCATCTACTGGCTAGCCACAGAATTGACCCACCTTTCAAAATCATTTCCACAGATTGGAAAAAAAAAAAAAAAAAAAAAAAAGCATTTCAAAGTCCAAAGTAATTTATAATGAACTTTTGGACCAAAAGGCCCTTTACTAGTTGGAAATGTCATTCTTTTATGTTTTTCCCTGAAGAAATCACCACCATGACTCTCGCCTGTGTCCTGGAAGCCATCACATCTACTAAACTACTGAAGTCGGTCAGAGCATTGGGTGGTCACCCCCTCAGTGCCTCAGTGCCACTTCAGTTGCCCTCTTCGGGAATGAAATTATTCCACTAACCAAAGAAGGAATCTTAAGGAAAGGAAAAGAGGCATAGCCAGGTGGCTGTAAAAGGACTCAAGAGACAAATAATTGGCTTGATCAAGTATCCAAGTGGATTTGCAAAGAGCTTAGAAGTTGCCCTCTTTCTTTAGACATGGTTGTTAACAACAGTTAGATGTATTATCAGTAGCAGCTGACTCTAATTCAGACAGTCTCTCTAACTTTTCTGTAATCATCACACATATATTAACTTTTTGAGTGTAAAAGTATTCACACCTCAGCAACTAATTAAATTTCATGTGTCATAAAACAATTTATAGTGCCAGTTGCTCTTCAATTGTTTTACATAATAGTGGTTGTATTAATGACAGTTCTCCAGGGAAACAGAACCGACAGGATGTATACAGATAGACACAAGAGAAAATTTATTATAGGAATTAGCTTATATGGTTATAGAGGCCGAGACATCCCACAATTTGCTGTCTGCAAGCTTGAAAATTAAGAAAGTCAGCAGGATATTTCAGACTGATGGCCTGAGAACGAGGGGGCTGTTGCATTAAGTCCTAGAGTCTGAAGGCCCATGAACCAGGACTCAATGTCAGAGGGAAGGAGAGGATGGACCCATCTGCTCAAAAAGAACCTTTCCCTCCCTATTGGTTACATTTGGACTGGTTACTCTGGTCCAATGGTAAAGACAGAGCTCTTCATTCAGCCTCCTGAACCAAATGCTAACCTCTTCCAGAAACATTCTCACAGGCACACCCAGAAATAATTTTGTACCGGGAATCTAGACATTCCTTAAACTATTCAAGCTGACTTAAAATTAGTCATGAGTTATATTTCAGGAAATAAGTGGCAAAGCCACAAAGTAAAAAAAGCCCACGCTACAACTTTGTCATTTTAATACAGTAACAATGCCAGGATATTGTATATCATTAGTACTGACAAAAATAATATTTGATACATTATATTGATACTCGGAGTTAAATATACCAAAATGAGAGTAGTTGGTAGGTTGCAAATAACACTAAATTTGGAGTCAGGAAACCTACATTTTAGATCCACATTAACTTCTTCAGAGATTTCATTCATTCACTCATCTATACATCCACTTAAAATACTTTAATTAGACATCTTAAAATGCTCTAGACACTATGTTAAAAAAGAAATTGACATTGCCCCTACATTTATAGACTTGTGGCCTATTAGAGGAGACAGACAACAGTTTTAAAAAGCATACTCATTAACAGTGCAACTGCTATTAAGTAGTGTAAAGTTAAGGGAAATTTTACCAGGGTAGTTTGTACAGATCTGATAATGACTAAGATGGAAGGACAGTTAGGAGTCAATTAGGTGAATGGGGCAGAGGCAAGAGCATATCCAATTCTCAGGGGTCTGAATGAGGCAGCATGTGTATTCAGGAATTGTGGAAGGCAAGGCAGAATGGCTGGAGCTTCAAGAACAAGTGCAAATTGATGTCCAGAAATGGGGGAGGGTGATGGAAATGAGATGTGAGATTTAACTCTGGATTCAATATTGAGAACTAATTGTAGGATGTATAAGTTAACATAAAAAGACTTTAGGAGACTATTTCTAGAGTCTAGAAGAGATAACTGTGTGACGTGACTGGGCTAGATATAAAAAAAGGGGGGATAGATAAGAGATAAGAGGAAGGAGTGAGATCTACCTTGTAGCTGAGACTGAGAAGAAAGGAAGCACACCAGATTTGAGTAAGACAAACTCTGTAAATCTTAATTTTTGTTTCTGCAAAATAAGAGATAAACCTTTAAAAAAAAAAAAAAAAGTCCCGCCCAGGCCTAAAATTATATGATTGCTTTATACAATTCAAAATTTTTTTAAAAGATTTATTTATTTATTTATATAAGAACTGGGTACAGTCAGAAGTGCGGGAGGGTGAGAGAATTCACCAGAGCCAGAGCGGGGAGCAGAACAGGCAGAGTGACGAAATACACTGCTGAGGGGGAGCAGCAGGTGAGACAGGAGAGGTCTGTCGCGCCATGTGGGACTCCCCCACAAGGGCAGGGGCTGGGGATCAAACCGGCACTGCAGAGGCTGTGGGCAGCCTTGCAGCCCAGCGCTCAACCGCTGTGCCACCATGGGAGGCCCTACAATTCAAAAATTTTTTGAATAAAAACTGACCTACCTAAAGGAGAAATTCTTTATAGGTAAATGCATTAGCTATATATTGTTACATAAATAATTACCCCAAATCTTAGTGACTTAAAACAACTGTGTATTACCTCGCAATTTCTGTAGGTCAGGAATTCAGGAGCAGCTTAGCTGGGTAATTCTGGCTCAGAGTGTGGTGATAGTCAGAATGTTGGCAGGGGCTGTCGTCATCTGAAGTCTTGACTGGGGTCGGAAGATTCATTTGCTTCCACAGAGGCTCACTCTCACGGCTCTTGGTATAAGGTCTCCCATCCTTGCTGCTCCTGGCAGGAAGCCTCTATTTCTCATCATGTGGGCCTCACCATGAGTTGCTTGAGCATCCTCTTGACATGGCATCTGGCTTCCAACAAACCAAGAGATACAGGAAGGCAACAGAGAAGAAGCCACTGTGCCTTGCATGATCTAATCTCAGAAGTCATATTCCATCAATTCTACTTCATTCTATTTGTTGAAGGAAATCACTAAGGCTAGACCCCATCATGGCAAGGGTAACTAGGTTCTAGCTCTTGAAGGGAAGACTATCAAATAATCTGTGATAATATTTTAAAGCAGCCACTTTATAAAGTTTAAACCTTATACACTTGACATTTTGCAAAATGTTGAGAACCATTTTTTAATTGTCAATAATACTATTATACAGATTCAATTAAATTAAAACTGAAGTCTTATAAACTAGAACACAGCTGCCCAGAATACTCAGTTCTCACATTCAGAGTAAATATTTACTCATTGTTTTTCTCTCCCTGCAAGACCAGTCTAACAATATACAAAGTTTACTAAGTCATAAACTAAAGGATATTTGGGTCAGAAATATGGTAATAAGTGATTCTCTATACATAAATACTATCTTATAAAATATATAGTGAATTCTAGAAATTACATATGGTTATGTATGAGAATAAAATTTTTTAAAAGATTTATTTATGCATGCAAGAGCTGGGGTATAGGCCAAAGGTGTGGGGGGTGAGAGGATTCACCAGAGACAGAGTGGGGAACAGAACAGGCAGACTGACTGAAATACACTGCTGAGGGGAGCAGCAGGCGAGTCAGGAGAGGTCTGCTGTGCCATGTGGGTAGCTCCCCGGCCGGGGATCGAACTTGTGCTACAGAGGCTGCGGATAGCTTCATAGGTTGTGTCTTAACCCTTGTGCCACCAGGGAGGCCTGAGAATCAAATATTTTACATCTGGGTCAGAGCTGAAGAAAGCTAGGGTTTGCAGAAAGCCCACAGATGGTCTGTCTAACCCCGCTATCTTACTGAATAAATGAGAAAACTGAGAGTCCATTTAAAAGTGTTTTTTCCCCCGAGCTTTCAAAGTTAGTTCGTATAAGGAAGCCATGGCTGGTGCTGGTGGGATAGCCCTTTCATGATAATATTGGAAAGGGGATTCAGTGCACTTTGAGGTCCTCTTTTAGTCCTGAGAATCTATGATATCTTAAAACAATCTCTGGGACAAGCACAATGGGCGTGATATTCTCCCTCTTTTAACACTGTCTGCAAGCAAGTTACAGAGTAAGAATAGTCCACTAGATCTTTCAAGGTCACTTAGCAACAACTTGTTTGTAGGAATTGGGAATAAAGCCAAAGTTAGAGATTCTCTCATTTACGCTCTTTCCCCTTCATTTCTTACTTATCTCTGAAATTTCACTGTTATTTAACCCAAACTGAATTGGCTTTATTATAGAAGCAGAGAGAAGTAAAACTCTTACCTTGTCTTAGTTGAAGACTAATATGCGCATATCTTCGAACACTTTATGAATTATGTACTTATGTAATTTGATCTGAGATAGGGAGAGAAGAAAGGTAGGAACAGACCTGTGGTTTCTAGACTCTTAGTTTAGGTACATTAGCCATCAACCCTCTATTGACTGTACTGAAATTTTATAGCTTATATCAGCAATTAAATTTGTATGGCTTTCTAGGCATACAAAGCAGATGATAAGATAGTTTTATTTACTTTGTCTATTTTTACTAAGGGTCATTATATTGGCGAACACCTTGTGAATATGTAATCAAAAATGCAAAATAATGCAAACAGCATCTCTTAATTCCTAACAAAATCCATAATACAAACTGTCTTTTGCATTTTATTCTATGTACAGATTTTTAAAATAGTTGTGATTTTACATCACTACAGCTTTTTAAAAATAGTGACAAATGTTTTCATGAAAAACCTTTTTAGTGTATTCTGATTCTTCAGATTAATTTGATATGTAATACTGTAGTAAAGCCCCAGGTGTGAACAAAACTATTTTCCAAAGAAATATCTGGAACTAAAAGGTTTGTTTTATATAATACAAGGTTTGTTTAGTACACTACCTATGATGATTTAATAAGTATTTATATGATGTCCCATTTGCCGTAACTCTCACAGTTTATTTCAGTTACTGAACATACACTTGTCCCTACATTACACGGACACTTAAAATCCAGCATCTGCCTAACCTGCCTAATTATCCTCTCTCAGTTCTATTTCTTTGATACTCCCTATTTATCTTAATGGCACCCATGGGAGAATCAGAAATCCTTTTTACATTTCCTTTTGTCTTTCTCAAATCTTTTAAAAGATCCTGTTTCCTCCTCTTTATCCTTACAACCTCTCAAGTTCAGACTCTCAGCCTCTGCTGCTTGAGTCTTAACAGCAAAACTGTCTATTTTGTATCCCTGGTGGTCTCACTGTTGTTAACCCTCACTGTCACTGAGTCTGCCTTCCAAGTAGTACACAGAACTGTCAGTTACTTTACTAATACATAAATCGGATCATATTGTTCCTCCTCTTAATACCTCTTAGGGATTCCGCCTTCCTCAAGGATGTAGGACAAATTGTGAAGTTACCAAGGAATCTCAACTTGCCTTTCTGAAACCTCTGGTTGTAAACATCCTTATGTCTAAAAAATTCCACCTTGCTGTTTAGTCTCCAAGGTGATTGTTTTCTCTCACTTTTCTTCTTAGGGAACTTCTATTCATTCCTTCATGAGCACCACCCCCCACCACCACCTCCCCCCCACCCCAACCACTGCTGCCTAAGTTTTGCTTTCTCTTCTCTAGACAGAGCTAACTGGTTGTTTTCTGTCTCCTTTGACATTCTGCATCCATCTTTATTATAGTTCATATTGCACAGCATTATTTATGTGCCTTTCCCACTGCTGAACTGGAGGGCAGGAGCCAAGTCTTACTCAAATTAGCAAAGGACCTGGAACTCAGTGTTCTAGGTGGAAAACCTTCCACTTATAAACCATCTTGTGAAAATGAATTGTCTTCATTTCAAAAATGTTTACATGTGTTAGTGAGACAAATGCTTTGTAATTATCAGTGGACTCAGAATTCAGAATTAGCCAGTCTAGTGTGATGAAACTGAGTAGGACTATAGCATAGGAGACTTGATAACAGATTGCAATAGATGGGTTTTGATCTTTCTTTTTAAAAAATTCATATTATGTGCTTCATGTAAGGTTTTTTTTTGGGGGGGGGGTAGAAAAAGGAACAAAAATAAACACGTTACACCATAGAAACAGGACTGCAGAATTGAGGCTGGGGTGGGGGTGGGGGTTTGGGTGGGATTGGAAACAAAAAAGCAAGGAGGGGCACAATTGTGTAGAGCAAAGGCCTATGTATGCTTGGATGATGGGGTTGGGGTGGTATCGCTCATTTAAGGAGCTGTGAACCTATTCCACCAAGTCATATAAAGTGTTGTTAACTAATGTTACCTCAATAAAGGAAATTGAAACAAATGTGAATAGATTACATTTATAATCAACAATAAGTCTGACCTTTGACTATAAAATTCTGTCAGCTGAGTTCATCATAACTCTTCACAGAACAGCCTCATACTTAGGAAACAGTGGTTTTGCTATTTTTGTGTAACTGACAACTCATACTGTGGTAAAATTGAACTTAAATTTTTCTTTTCACACAGCCTAAAGTAATATAGAAAATACTTAAGAATGGAATAAAGGGGAGAAAATGCCATAGAAACACTATCCAGTGATTAACTCCAGATGTCAATATTTTTTTCTAACACCTTCCAGTTTTGTTAATATACACATGATCATACTGCATGCTTGATCAAGTTCCATAATTTGTTTTTTCGCACTTACTACTACTTTAAAAACCTACTTGCTATGATGGTATATTTAAAATTGTGGCCTAGAATGCAGAGTAGGTATAGCTACGTCTAAGACATTTAGTTTCCAGTTTTACTTTTGCATCTTATAATATTGTGTGATGTAGAGTTTGTGAATAAAGTGTTTGCTCTATTTCAGATTGTTTCATTCAGAAAGAATTTCAGATATGGGATCATGGGTTCCAAGAGTATGAACATTTTTATAGGCTGAAGCACAGTGCCAAACTGCTTTCTAAACAGATTGTTTCAGTTTACACTCCCACTCACAGTGTCTGGGGGTATTCTTTTTATCTCCCCAGCCTTGACTATTATCTTTTACTTAAATATTTACTAATGTGATAGGCAGCTGTGATAGGCAGCTGAAATGTTATAATTCCTAGCCTATTTGTTGTTGCAGAGGGTAGGTTAAAATCAAGGCTTTGGAGTCAACTATACCTGAATTTGGCCACTGCTCTACCACTTCCTAGTTGTGTTACATGGTACAAATTACTTAACTCCTAGAGGCTCATTTTTTCCCACTGCTTTTAAAACAACAAGAAGAAAAAGTTAATAGTATTTACCCCAAACACAGTGCTATTGTGATTATTAAGACATAGTCATATAAAAGCCTTCCATACTTGCTCCTGGGACCAGACAAAATTCGAGTCCTTCATTTTCCATTGCAACTGTGTGTTACTTATTTTTGTTTGATTAGTGTACTATCTAGGAATTTACAGAATACTTTGACCATCTTTATGCCTGCAACTTGATGTGGGAGGTTGAACAATTATCCAGATAATTCTTGCAATCAAGGGGAGGTCAGGGAGTAAACCTTTAGTTGAGGGAGGAAAAAAAAAAAGGCACAAACCTGGTTCGCATCCCAGAGGAATCTGCAAACTAAAGACCTTTAAGTTCACCCCTTGGGACTTCTAATTGTTCTGAGAGGTCTCAAGGGCAGTGGTGGAAACTCACTGAAGAATTCAGTGAAAGTGGTGTGGGAGAGAGTTCCTGGAAAAGCTGACTCCGGGAAGGCAAATGCTAAATCAGGAAGGATAGTAATTACTCTACCAGTTACGCACACTTGTGAGTTTTGGGTATTTGACCGCAAAGTTTGAAAGCATGGCAACCTGACTTTGTGCACTTGCTGTCTGCGTACCCACAGCAAGTTCTGCTCTTTGAATTCCAGCAGAACATACCGAGGCGCAGAGGACACACCACCACCTCCAGTGCCTGGGCTATTTAGACCATGGGCAAATGTTTACCTTTCTCAGTCCCGGATAATTTAGCGTGGTTGCTCCTTGGGAATCCCCCCTGGCTATTTCCTCAACTCCTTCCAAAGGCTAAGGAATGTCAGTGGTAATAATAACAGTAAAGTAACCCAATATCCTGGCCCGCACAAAAACTGCACTCTCAGTGGGGGTCCTATCTCGAGGTTTTGGTAAAATTTAAAACTTGTCCCCGAGAAAGTCTGTTTTGCTCAGTTGGGTAAAACCTGTCCACATTAATGCCAACGTGCTTCACCAAGGCAGACAGAAAACTGCTCTCAGGTGGATTTTCTCCCTTCTGGCCCAGAATTTTCAACCCGAACCACCAAGTCACACGCTCGACTGGGTTCGGGGTTACCTCTGGGGAGAAGTCCTCCTTGGGGGGGCGGCAGAGGCGCCCCGGGCGAGCTTTCTGGCACCAGCGGGAGTTTCAAGTTTCCACGCGACGCGGAGGCGGCTCCGCTCCAGCCCAGGCCTCCCTGGAAGGCGCCCCCCGGCCTCCTCGCTCCCCCACTTCCCTCAGGGCTCCGGGCTGCGGCGCTTCCCCGGGCCCGGACCCCCGCGCGGGCGTGGCCGAGGGCGGGGCGCGGGCCCGGCGACGGCGCGGGGGCGGCGGCGTTGGCGCTCGGGCCGCGGCGCGAGGCCGGGCGGCCGGCAGGGGGAGGCGGGGGGCGCGGGGCAGCCCCGCCTTTCCCCCGAGGAGCCGCCGGGCGGCCATATTGCGGAGCTGTCTGCGGTGGCGGTGGCGCCTCTCCTCTCCCGCGGCCCAGCGCGCCCGCACCGCCTCTCCCGCCCTCCCGCCCCGCCGCCGCCGCGCCGCGCCGCCCGGCGCCCCCGCCGCACCCCGGGCGGGAAGGAGCCGCCCGCTCTCCGGGTAAGCCGGGGCGCCCTCCCCGCCCCCACCCCCGCTCGCCGGCTCGGCGGAGACGCTGAGGTGGCGGCCAGAAGTTGGCGGAGGCCCGCGCTGCCGGGCGGCCGAGGCGCCGGGGCCTCTCGCGCCGCCGCTCGCGCCCCGCGGGCCGCGCCAACGCCGCCCTGACGGCCAGGCCGCGGCCGGGGCCGGCGGAGGCGCGAGGCCTGGCCCAAGGGGTGGCCCGGCCGGGGCCCGGACTCGCCGCCGCGCTGGCTCCCGCCCGCCGCCCCCGCGCGCGCGCGGGTCGCGGTCGGCGTCGGGCCCGGCGCCCCCCGAACCCCCAGCGCCCCCCGCGCCCCGGGGTGGGGTCGGGTTCCCGCCGCCTGGGCGCGGCCCGGGGTCCGGCCTGGCACTTCCTTTGGGTAGTTTGAAAATACAGATGTGAGGCGGAGGGGAATTCCGCCTTGCCGTGCGGGGAAGGAATTCAATAGAACTTCTCCCCGGCCTCCAGTTTGAAAGTAAGGGTGTTGGATTACTAGAGAGCGTGCGTTCCGCCCTAGTGGCAGAAGGGATGTTGTATTTCGGGGTTTGGGGCGGGAGCCTCTTCTGCTCGCCGCACCCCGGGGGCGAGGGCCGCGCTTTCCGGCCGCCAGGCTCTACCTGCTGCTGCTGCTTTTGGCGGCCCCAGAGCCTGAGAACTTTCTCCAGCCTTCGGGGCGCCGGCCTTGGTAGCTCGGACCCCACAAGACAATTTCAGCTTCCTTGCTGCACCTTCCTTTAAGGGTTTCTCAACTTAATTCCTGGGCCAGTTTGGAAGTGGTGGGGGCCACACTCAACGGCATTAATGCAGTTTGAATGGTGCACGCCGCTTCCTAGTTAGATACTGGGATCTGTAAACAGTCCCAATATTTGGGGTTTTTTACCCCCCTCCCCTGGAGCAGCGGTTCCTTGCGAGGTTGGCAATGCGTTGAAAGTCAGTTTCATCAAAGATCGATCTTGAAAATACAGTTGAGATTTGGAGGAAGGCATTTTTGTGAGTGTCGTGGCACTGAAACTGGGGTGATGTCAATGTAAAGGCCTCGGATAATAAGGGTTTATTTGATAAATGAGTGCTTGGACATAGAGATTGCAATCTATTGTTTACGGAGCATACTTTTTTTTAGAACACTAAATACTCTTTTTTTTTTTTTTTTTTTTTTTTTAACGGAGGCGCTCTGAATGAACAATTGGCCCGTTCATTTTGCAGGATAAATAATGATTTAATCCATTTGCCTAAACAGCATTAATAGATTTGAGAAAAGAAACTTAAGAGAATGATACTAATTTATCTGAAATATGACAAAATGTACAGCGCTCCTTTTGAAGTTAATGGTATGCTGTTAAAAGAACTGCTGGGATTTTTCTTTCTTTGCTAATTACTTTTTTTATATAGGGAGAAATCTAAACAGTTAATACATTAGTAAGGAATGAACAGGTAAGCTTTGAAATTCTTTAAAGTTTTATTTAAATAGGGCAGAATTCAATTATGGCATTTACAGACGCTAAATTCCTGCCCTTGTGGATCATAACATTGTTTTGTTCACTCCCCACAGATGGAAGACCATGTAGGAGAGGCTCAGAAATATTTGTAGAATATAAATGTAATTAATTCTGTGTGGGAAAGTATGCTGAGTTTGTTCTTTCTTTTGGAAATTGTTATTACTTAACTGGAAATTAAGTTGATTATTCTTTTTCTTGTGGTGGAATGAAATGACAGACTTTGCTATTCTTTCCCTCTCACTAACTCTATGTTCTCAGTGAGGCAAACAGAGCTGTTTCCTATCCATTACCTCACCGTCCTCAAGAGCAGAATTGGACTTCATTATTCATTTTAAATCTTTGTCAGATTGTTGAAAGTCTTTAATATTTTCATCTTAAATCCGGTTCTTAATCTTTTGATATAATCTATGTATGATCTAACACAGAGTCTGAAATGTTGAGTGATATCTATTTTTTAATCCATTTTTAATTTAATATATTGTAGCTTATGCCACTTAAAAATGGGACAGATGTTAACCAATATTCCCCAAAGACGAAAACCTCAAGAAAAGTGTTCTGTTAAGGTTGTGAAGTGTGACCTATCCCATAGAGCATATTTGATTGGGTGTGGCTAATATAATTTCATGCTGTTATTGCTGTGAATCCCGGATGTCAAGGAAATCACCCTTTCTTGGATGGCTTTGACCTGTAGCCTGAGCACTAATGGACACCTGATGTTACTTTTGGGGTACTTGATGCAGTGGAACTGGATTGGATTGCTGTAGAGTCTACATCTTCAAAGGGTTATTTTAAGCTTCATGTTGTTACTGATGGCTTGCTAAAGGCTCTTCCATTGAATTTCTTAAGTTCTGCAGTCATTATATGCTCACCTCTTCTGTGGTAGAAGTGTCCAGCTGACCACAGAGAGTTCCTCACTTTTAGCCTCTTTCAGAGAAATCTTATTTACTTTAGTTCCTGTTGTAGTTGTCAAGTATTAATTTATATTGGACATACATTTTAAATAAGTTTTAAATACTTTAAAAGTTAATACATTTTATGACAAAGTTCAAAAACCCTGAAAGATATAAAGAGAAAAATAAAAAGTCCTCACTCCCTAGAAACCCTCAACTGCTTTTCCAGCTGTTTTTCATAGCTAGTCACTATTAGCAATTAACTTGTTTACAGAAAATACCAATACTTGTGCAAGGATAAACATAATACTTTATGTCCCTTATTTGTGACTATGAAAATAAAGTTATTTTGCAACAAACACTGAAAGAGTGTTTATTACTGTGTTAAACATCAGTAAAAAATGTTTCTCAGGTTGTCATCATTTAAATGAAAACACACAATGGAATTTCCTGCAGTCTTAAAAGTCTATTTATGTACATGTGCAAATTTTTTATTAATGATTGAAGGTGAAGTTCATTTTGTTTTCCTAGAGTATAGAATATAATTGAGTGGAAAATGTTCTTTTAAAAAAGAGTTTATGATTTTGGGTAGACAGACAGCCAATTAATGTATATGTTTGTGCCTGGCAACTGTTTTGGAAGGAAATATAATTCCTGTTTCTTCATTCCATTTAATAGTGAACTCTAGATTTAACTTCCTGGAAGAGAGGGGCTAATTGCATTCAAGCCAGGCATCAGAGGTTATTTTTTTCTTTAATACCTGATATGTCTAGAAATCCTTGGAAATTGCTAATATCGAATACTTGGTTTTCCTTAATAGGTTAATGTTATAAATTTGCATATGCGTAATTTTTCCTTTTTTTCCTCTACTAAAATATTAGTTACTTTTTAACAAAATTACCAGTTACATTTTAAAGAGATTAGTTGCATATGTAAATAAGGTAACTGGACCTTTTACTTCCTGTGATCTAATGCATATGAGTAGAATGTTTGACAAATGCTGGTTACTTTTCTACATTTTTATGTATTTGAAATAAGCTATTTTTCAGTTCTAGTGAAGTTGAGTGGATGAGATAGATGCTCTATTTGCAGTTACTTTGTAGAGAAGAGGTGAGCAAACTGGTTCTCCGCTTTGTTTTTGTAAACTTTTTTTTTTTAAGATTTATTTATTTATGCATACAAGAGCTGCGGTGTAGGCCAGAGGTGCTGGAGGGTGAGAGGATTCACCAGAGGCAGAGTGGGGAACGGAACAGGCGGATCCACTGAAATACGCTGCTGAAGGGAGCAGTGGGCAAGACAGCAGAGGTTCTGCTTCCCTTGGCCATGTGGGGGATTGAACTCCTGCTACAGTGGCTTCAGATTGCTTCATAATTCTGAGACTTGATCCCTTGCACCATCATGGAGGTCCTGTGAACAACATTTAATTAGACACAAATATTCAATTCATTAATTTATTGTGTCTGCCTGCTTTGAATTAAAATAGCAGAGTCAGTCTTGTTTGCAAACCTGAAAGTACTTAATACTTGACTCTCTATACCTCCTGATTTGGGCGGGGGGAAATCTACTTAAAATAATGTTTTAGATTTAGTATAAAAATCTCCACGATTATAGAATTTATAAAGTTGTGAATCTCAGTATCTACGATTCATACAATTTTTTCCTGAGTTGTCAGTAATTGTGGACTTTCAGGACCTTGAATATTTCTTTTAGTTTATTTGTGAAAAGTTGAAATTAAACAAGATTGGTTGCAGGTGAAATTATGAAATGAGCAATCTTTAAGTTCATTGCTTTACATCTCATAAGTTGCTTTGGCTACAATAGCAGAAGATACTGAAACTGGTTGACATAATGAGGAAATGTTTTTTTTTCCTTACATAATAAAGCCCAGAGACTTAAGAATAACTCAAGTATGATATTAATGAGTCATTCTCTAGCCCTGTGGTCTTCTTCATTAGCTTTGTAGTAAGACTGCCCTCCCACTTGCCCAATTTGGCTACAACAGCACTCGTGTCCCACCTGGGTAAAAGAGTATCAAAAGGAATAAGAAGGACTGTCTTTTCTTAGAAGCCCCCCAGCAGATGTCTTCTTAGATTCAACAGCCAGAATTGGTGTACATTCCCAATCTAGTCACTGGCAAGGCTATGGAATTTACCCTTTTAATTCTGTTCCCATTAGAATATTTTCTTTATTTGTATCCCGAATGTCTTGGGTTTGTTCTTACTCTCTCCCAAATCAGATCCAAGATTCATCTGTCATACATAGTATAGCATGGGATATGTGACTTCAATCTTCTTGGATACTGGTTTTATTTAAATTATGGAAAGAAAAGTTGATTCCTGTTCAGATACTTAAAGATGGGTGAACAAAATTACAGCCCTGAACCAAATTCAGCTTACTGCTTGTTTTTGTAAATAAAGTTTTATTTGAACACATTATAGTTCATTTGTTTACACATTGTGACTCTTCTCATGCTCAGCAGCAGAGCAATTGTAGCACACCACTTGGTCTGCAAAACCTAATTATCTACCTGATCCTTTATGGAAAAATTTGCCAACTCCTCCATTAAAGTGCCATTCATACATTCAGACACTT